CACTGAAACTGTGTCAAAACAACCAGAGACTCAACAGGATGTCGGTGCATTTGGTTTCAAAATAAAAGCATGACATTGCTTTTAAAGGTGTCCTATTATGCTTTAGGGCAGCGGTTTTCAAAGTGTGAGGCGCGCCTCCCCTGGGGGGCGCCAGAGAGCTTCAGGGGAGGCGCAGCGTGAGAAAAAAATAAAGAGAAACAATGAAATCTAGCTCGTTAACTTCAGCTAACTTTATGCGAGCGGCAACATGGATCGATTTTTAGTGAAGTTACCTAAAGTGAGAGAGGAGACAGCGTCTGGCCACCCCAGTTGGCAGCTTTGTTTTGAAATAAAAGTTGTGGCTCATCGGACATTTATCAGAGAAAATCCCTGATGTCCGAGTGCAAGTGAATGCAGCACAAGACGCGAGCCTTGTAACCCTGGCGCGAGCGAGGAAATGTGATTGGCGGCGATTTCATTTGAACGGGCGGCAGAAAACGAGAAGCATTCGGACCCAAGTACACGGAAGGAATGAGGTATTTGCGGTCTACAATGACAGAGAAGAGACTGTCAAGTTTGGCTGTGCTCAGCATTGAATCAAAACGCACTAAAGCTTTGGATGTTAATACGTTTGTGAGGCGTTTTGCTGAACAAGATGGTAATCGCCGCATTCAGCTGTAATAGGCATGCCAACTTGATGCTCTGCTCACGGATGACTCGAGCATTAAAAACTGTTAAGATGATGACCTTACGTGTGTACATATATTTTTTTCTTTGTGGGGCTCTGCCCTGAGAAAGTCAAATAAGATGGTGTGTAAAACTACACTGCCCAGACAAAAATAAGTAACCACTTTGATTTAACTAGGCCAGTAGGTAAGGGCATTCCACTGGATAATAATACCCCTGCATTATAGCAACAACAATAATAATAATAATAATAATAGCAATAATAATTGGGAGGGGGGGCGCGGCTGTTCTTATATTCTCTGAGGGGAGGCTCACCTTCCCACACTTTGAAAACCCCTGCTTTAGGGGATTTTCCTTTTCCTGTGGTGTGTTATATCGTGTATGAATATGGTCTGCAAAGTCATAAAGGTTTACCTCCATTTGACTCCTTTGTTTACTTCAGTAACATAGTGATATCACCAGTGGCGACTGGTCATTAGGGGCAAGTGGGGCACAGCCCCACCTACTGTCAGCAGAAAGTATTACACATAATGATTACAAAAAATGCAAAGAGATGCAAAAAAAGAAATACAAAAATATATAAAATATATTTTAAGGTCATGTTTAATCATCTGATTCGTCTGTACATTGCTGTTTTAGTCTGTGTTCTTCTAATTAGTGTCTACAGTGCCGTTTTGACCCATGTGGGACAAAACCTGACCATGCCCCACCCACTCACTGTCAAAGTGAACGGTGACTGTAAAAACTACACTGCGCATGCTCAGAGTATTTTTCAATGTAATGTGTGTGGCAAAAAAAAAAAGACCAAAGGGGCACTGAGCTGCCATCCCCACCATACGTCATCTCACATCATTCAGAGCTGATTGGCTGTAAGTACGTGTACCGCGAAAAGTGTGCTGTGTGAAGAGGAGACGAGAGAGCTGCAGTGACGCGTCCTAAAACCAGGAAGTAAGCTGCAAAAAAGCAATGAGGTTTCTACATACTGTAGGATTTTAGAAAATAGCTCGAAATAAGATCTGTGGGAAACGTACCTGTTAGATAAATGCACGTTTTGTTCAGCCGGATAATATCCACATGTCTACCCTACTTTTATAATTTTTTTATCATAAATCTATCGATTAGATTTATGATAGACTTTTGAAACTACAAGAAGATAAGGAGGACTTTTACAAAAAAGTTATAGAAATTTTTGTCCAGAAGGATAGGCAAATGGACTTCATCTTCAAGTCAAGGTAAGACCGCACTTTTATTGAAAATGGGATCTTACTAAGAGAGAACAATTCAATATTTAAATGATAAAATTACATTTTTTGGGTATCCTTTTGTTGAACTGTCTGTTTAAAATTAATCGAAGCATCAGACAAAAAAAGCTTTTGAAAATAATATTATATTTTGGTTTAGGTCAAAATATAATATTTGTAAACCTGAAGAGTCAGTGCCAGTGCCTCACCAGCCATGAACCTCACTGCACGTCACTGCAGAAGCTTATATATAGACATCTAAGTTCTTTTGTACATATAAAAACGCCACTGGATATCACTACGTAACACTTGCGCTTCTATTGGCTAGCGCTCTAACACATTGTACGTGAAAGGCTAAGGGGCGGGACATCTCTAAGCTGTTGACCAATCACAACAGAGCCGGCCAGCTAACCAATCAGAGCAGACTGGGCTCTGGTTTCAGACAGAGGGTGAAAAGAGGTGCTGCAGCACAGGCAGTATGAGAAAAATAAAGACCTTTTTGAAAATGAAGGCATGGAGACATGTCACAGTAGAGACACTACATACTGATATACACCTGAACATCAGCAGGAGAGGACTCTTTAAAGTAGAGACACTACATACTGATATACACCTGAACATCAGCAGGAGAGGACTCTTTAAAGTAGAGACACTACATACTGATATACACCTGAACATCAGCAGGAGAGAACTCTTTAAAGTAGAGACACTCAGTGGCGACTGGTCATTAGGGGCAGGTGGGGCACAGCCCCACCTAGTGTCAGCAGAAAGTATTACAAATAATGATTACAAAAATGCAAAAAAAAAAAAAAAAAAATATATAAAATATATTTTAAGATCATGTTTAATCATCTGATTCGTCTGTACATTGCTGTTTTAGTCTGTGTTCTTCTAATTAGTGTGTCTACAGTCACAGTGTGTGCCTATTGAGCTGTTTAGAGCCATGTGGGACAAAACCTGATTATGCCCCTCCCTCTCGCTGTGAAGTCAACGGTGACTGTAAAAACTACACTGCGCATGCTCAGAGTATTTTGTAATGAAATGTGTGTGGCAAAAAAATAATGACCAGAGGGGCATGGAGCTACCATCCCCACCATACGTCATCTCAAATCATTCAGAGCTGATTGGCTGTAAGTACGTGTGCCGCGAAAAGTGTGGTGTGTGAAGAGGAGACGAGAGAGCTGCAGTGACGCGTCCTAAAACCAGGAAGTAAGCTGCGCATGGCTTCCCTTGACAAAAAAGCAATGAGATTTCTCCAGAGGATTTTAGAAAATAGCTGGAAATAAGATCTGTGGGAAACGTACCTGTTAGATAAATGCACGTTTTGATCAGCCGGATAACATCCACATGTCTACCCTACTTTTATAATTTTTTTATCATAAATCTATGGATTAGATTTATGATAGACTTTTGAAACTACAAGAACATAAGGAGGACTTTTACAAAAAAGTTATAGACATTTTTGTCCAGAAGGATAGGCAAATGGACTTCATCTTCAAGTCAAGGTAAGACCGCAATTTGATTGAAAATGGGATCTTACTAAGAGAGAACAATTCAATATTTAAATGATAAAATTACATTTTTTGGGTATCCTTTTGTTGAACTGTCTGTTTAAAATTAATCGAAGCATCAGACAAAAAAAGCTTTTGAAAATAATATTATATTTTGGTTTAGGTCAAAATATAATATTTGTAAACCTGAAGAGTCAGTGCCAGTGCCTCACCAGCCATGAACCTCACTGCACGTCACTGCAGAAGCTTATATATAGACATCTACGTTTTTTGTGCCCCACCACTTTTGTACATATAAAAACGCCACTGGAGACACTACATACTGATATACACCTGAACATCAGCAGGAGAGGACTCCTTAAAGTAGAGACACTACATACTGATATACACCTGAACATCAGCAGGAGAGGACTCTTTAAAGTAGAGACACTACATACTGATATACACCTGAACATCAGCAGGAGAGGACTCTTTAAAGTAGAGACACTACATACTGATATACACCTGAACATCAGCAGGAGAGGACTCTTTAAAGTAGAGACACTATACTGATATACACCTGAACATCAGCTGGAGAGGACTCTTTAAAGTAGAGACACTACATACTGACATACACCTGAACATCAGCTGGAGAGGACTCTTTAAAGTAGAGACACTAAATACTAACATGAACCTGAACATCAGCAGAATAGGGCCCTTTAATGTATTTGTGTAAGGGCTTGAGCATTTTCTTTCTCAACAACTGCTTCTTTATAATTGTTTGGTCGTTCTGTTGCCACATATGATCATATATATGTTCCCCTTACTTACTAAGGCTGAGTGGAGCTTTCTGCCACCTGAAAGGAGTTTTATTTTGAAAGGCCAAACCGGAACTCTCTTTCTAAAGGCTAGAACTGCAATGTGTTCAGCAATGTGGAGCTGCTTGTGTTTGGGGAGAAAGGGGTTAACAAATTAATACAGTATATACATATATATAGTAGTCATTATTCTGACTTCCACTATTTTATGTATTGACTAATTTTAGATCAAATTGCATTACTTTTTTTATTTTTTTACTTTTTTAAATTGCATTGTTGGAACCCGAGATTTGAAATGTTCAGATTAGGGTTGATAAGGGTTGCTGGAAGTTTTATTTTGAAAGGCCAAACCGGAACTCTCTTTTTATAGGCTCGAGCTGCAATGTGTTGAGTAGTTGCTTGTGTTTGGGGAGGAAGGGGTTAACAAATAATATATATACATGTAAATATACGGAATATAGATATATATATATATATATAATATCCATTATACTGACGTGCACTTTTTTATGTAGGCTATTGACCATTTTTTGTTGAAATTACATTGTTGGAACCAGAGGTCTAAAATGTTCAGATTAGGGTTAGTTAGGGTTGAATAAAGTTTGAAAATGGGCAGATAACATATAAAACAATATCATTAAAAAAGGTTATTTTGAAAGGTCCAAACCGGAACTTTCTCTTTATAAAAGGTGTCGGCTCCAGCTGGCTGAGGCGCTGCCCATGTTTGGGTAGTAAAGGGTTACAAAGTCCACCCCCCCTTACACAAACAGAGGGCCCTGCTCGGACTCCTCTGACAGAAATGCAGCCTGTTCCAGTTCCTCTCCCCGGGCACACAGGGAGCTGAAGTCCCGGTAACCGAGAGACCGAGCACCGGAGGACCGTGTTTCTGCAGCTCTGGACCCCCCAGGATGTACCGGAGGATGAGCAGCTGCAGAGGGCAGAGAGCCGGATCCATGCTCCTATTATCTGTGATAAAGTAGACCCAGGAGAAAAAACATTAAAACCGCTTCTCTTTCGCATGAACCCTGCAGGGACTCAGCATGAGGAAACCCAAAGTCACTCGGATGGGTTTCGCCTTGTGTCTGGGATGTTTCATTATGGTCATCCTCTTCTTTAACAGCAGCCTGAAGCCAGGTGAGCACCATGAACTCCTCTTTAATCTGAGACCAAAATATGTGGATCTTCATTTTATTCTAAAACAAAGACAATACAAATGCAATGCCTTAACAGTAAGTGAGGACAGAATAGCAATTAGTCAGATATTGTAGTGAATGCAGTTTATTACAAACCCCTCAGACAATAAGTTGAGTTTTTCCCCATCTACTCAATAATATATACAGAAAGAAAACAATACATTTAACTGTTTTTATTTGAGGATGTAGAAACATATCCATATAGCAATACTAGACACATTCAAGCAAACTACAATTATGAAAATATTTCAAGAAAATACAGGATATCTAAATACTAAAATCCCATGGGGTGTTTTAACTTTCTTCAAGAGTAAAATATGTCTTTTTCTACATAGATTTCATTCATTAAAAACACATTTTGGACAAAAGAAATGTATGATTTGTGTGGGGTGGATATTGAGTTTATTTTGATGTGTCTACAGGGAGCACACACCAGTCCAATCAATGTTTAATTGAAATGCTAATACATTATTGAATCTTGACACTGTGCAGCAGGCTCGAGTCAAGTTATGCCAACGGGTCATAATAATGAAATCCATTCATCTCAGTGCTGTGAGGCAAACCCGATGCAAATGTGTTTGCATGGAGAAAGTATTTTGAGCAAAACACCCCAAAGGTATTTGTGTTTCTTCGGTACAGTTCATGTTCTACACTCTCCCAGCTTGGTCAGTGTTTCCCAGAGAGCCACATATCTTGGTGTGGGAACAATTTGATTAGTGATGATGAGTGGAGTGTTTCCTCTGCTACGTGGAGGAGAAAGGCTGCAGCTGGTAGCGTAGTTGGCCCTCTCTGAGATCTGTTTCCAGGTCCCTCTCTGCCACATACAATGGCCTCATTCACACATGCCAAGCTATATCATGGGCCAAAAAAGCGTATATAGCCCATACTGTGAGGAGGTTTTTTAAGAGAGGGGTCAGTCAGTTCTGGATGTGTGTGATGTGAGACGTGGGGCATGCAGAGTTATTAGGATCCCATGAAAGACCAGCCTCTTTGGAGACAGATTCCATCCGCCCGTAAAGATTTGCCACGAAACACTACTGAAGAAAAAAAATGTTTGTGGCATTTGAGTTGAATTAAAACCTTGAATGCCTCGGATGGTTGTTAATCTGTCTGTTGTTTGCGGTAGTTTTTCTGTGGTGATGTTACATTTTACAGTAGCTGATATCATGTGCCTCCCACAATTGTCCTCCTCTGTTTTAAATAGTCCTTTCTTTAGTTTGGAATATCACTTTGTCTTAGATCGCAGTTTAACTTTGTTACATTACACTTTATTGAAATCTTTGCCCTTCTGTTGTTATGGCTGTTTATTGTTGCTCAAAAGAAAAGGGCTTTGTCACAGCAGACAGATTTGCATGTAATACCAAAAAGAATACACACATATAATGTAATGGCATTAATAAAGCCTGCATTGTATTGAGGTGTGCCAGTTTTCAGGGTGTTTGCTCAACATGACTCAGCCTAGGGCCTTTTCTACCCTTTTGAAAAGGGAGGGGATAGCAGGGAGTCATTTAGTTGGTTGCAATATGCAATTTCACCACTAGATGGCACTAAATCCCACATACTGCTTCTTTCAATCGGACACTTTATTGTTAACTTTATTAGTGACACATGTGCTTTGTTGTAAAACGTCCATAACACACCAGAACTTTCCTTTGAAGGGTGTTTGCGTGCCCACTGTTATCGTGGCTTATTACACGGTGTAGTTGAATACTCGATTCTGATTGGTCAATTTGGACATTTCAGAGGTTGTTAATACTCGATAACAAATCACTGCTAGTCAGAAAATGACCGTTGCTAAGGATGATCAAGGGAGAGAAGGAAAGAGGTTAAAAAGACGGAGCGTTGGACGTCAGAGAAATCAAGAGAAGAAGACAGACAGGAAGTAAACACTAAAGGGAACAGCAGAAGAAGACAGACAGGAAGTAAACACTAAAGGGAACAGCAGAAGAAGACAGACAGGAAGTAAACACTAAAGGGAACACAGTAAAGCCTCTGGAAGTGTTTAAGGACTTGTTAATGGAAAATAAAATAGGAACAGACTTCGACAGTTACAGAAAACCTTGATCAGTGCTGCCGTTAGGGCTGTGCAATTAATCGTATTTTAATCGCAATTACGATTTTGGCCTGACACAATTACGAAAACAACATAATCGAAAAAAACAATTATTTAGCTTTTGCTAGGTTGTGACCGTGCATTGCAACATATTTGATCTAATTAATTTTGGTCTAATTTATTTTTTATTTATCACATTTATATATGTTTAGTAGCTTGTTGAAGTGCGCTCCAAAATATTTGTTGATCTTGTTTATTGGTATTTATTAATTTTACATTATTTATTTAAATGTAAATATTTCATTTATTTTTGTATTGGTTTTTCAGTTGAATTATACATTCAGGGTAATCAACAGTTAAAAAGATACTGTTCAAATTATAATTTTTATTTGTTTTAAAGTTCAATAAATGGAAGTCAATGAATAATCGTATTAATAATCGTGATATCAATTATTGACCAAAATAATCGTGATTATGATTTTTGCCATAATCGCACAGCCCTAGCTGCCGTTCATTTCAAGTTACGTTGTTGTAGACATGCCATTGTTCACCAGTTGGACAGAAGATCAAAATATAGGTCAGGTGTGTAATTATGTTATTTGTCAGTCCTTCAACCCCTAAGATGCCTAGAGAAGTGCTAGTTTAAGTCAAGAGTTAATTCAAGGAAACCTGTGATACTGCCAACTGTGCCACTTCTTTTGTGAAGCAGCATATTCCAAGTCTGTGTGTCAATCCTCTTTAGTCTCCTCTTGAGACCTCTTTTCTCTCATCGCTCCTCGAAGTGCATTCGAGGGATTTGTAGGATCCTCCGTGACGGTGAAGGGGAAACCGATTTTTCCGGGTCACTGGAGGAGAGAAGCTGTGAGGAAGCATGTATTAGAGTAATGAACCGCACCCTGGTTTCTCACTTCTCTCAAAGGTCAGCACTGTCAAGACGATTAGCAGTCGGTCGATGGAGCAAATCCTCAAGTTCACTTTAGTTAAATTCAATGTGAACGCTGGGATATATCTGGGCCCTAATACAGACATATTTAACCTTTTAACCAAGGAATATAACAAGACAGCTGGCTGTGCTGTGAGTGGCATCATTCACAAACTTTAATACGTACTTCATTTGTGATTGGAGGTAATTGGAGGGTTACAAAGTATATCAATACACAACATACGTCAGAATGGGAACCTCTGATTTTGCACAAAACAACCATAACAAGAGACAAGGTTATCCTTAATACTAACATCAACAAAAGTGGCAACAACTTCTAGTGGTTTCTTAATTTATTTCCTATCCTGATATACTGCCCAGATTTTGTGTCTAATTGCATTTTGGAGATGTTGGTTAATTCTAGACATGTGTACAGGCACAATCAAACTCCAAAGAGCTACAGGATATGTGGTTGTGGGTTAACTCATGCATGGACAAAAGCCGATGTATCAGCGCTACAGCCTCAACAGCGCAACATCTGAAGGTGATTATTATGCATCTTAGAGGAGGTTGAGTAGCTTGTTAAATGGAATGCATCTCATGTTGCAGGCATTAAAAGCCGCCCTGTCAGCTTTAAATCACTTTAAATTGGTTTCAGATATGCAGCCTGTCTGTCCTATTTACATTTAGAACACCTTCACCCCCACTTTTTCGTGCTCCATGTGGGCTAAAGGTCATTTTGTTAGCTCAACCACTATATAAAGCTGCAAGAGAGCAGCCACAACACAAAGGAATGCACTGCTAGGTCAGAGAAACCTGGTCAGGTCAGTGTCAAAATGTCCTGATTTAAACATTGGACTCTTTTTGCATGCAGGGTCCACAGCGCTTATTTAAATGTGGGATAATTACATGTATGCAGAGTGGGTTTTCTATAAATGTCATGCATTTGGCATTTTGATAAACACAATGGATAGAAATAGGGCTTTTACAGATCATGAGATGCCTCCCTTTATGCAATAACTGACCATTTTAACCAGTGGGTTCTAAAATATGTGCTAGATAAGCCTTTTGGTGTGACATCATTCCACTTTTTTCCAACACTGATCAACGTGTATCATTCATTATCTTGATTTAACACAACGCATCTTGAGTTTATAGAGTTATTACGAGATCTGACACATCTTTGTCCTTCTTTGAGAGTTACAAGCATTTTTGACTCTGTTCCAGAAGACATGAGTCATTGAGATGAGTATTTCTTTTAATGTCGGGTGTCTCTTTACTACAAGGGAAGCTGCGGTTTCTCTGTAAAGTTTACACAGACACACGGACAGAAGAGGAAAAAGACAGCATGCTCTGGAATGTGTTGTGTTTTACTGCGATGTCAGGATCCTCTCTTAGAAAATACAACCCAGGAACACTGATCTTCATGTAGCCAGTAACATGTACAGATACAGATGTGATCAGGTTTACAAATTATTGCTAGACAAGCAGAAAATACTTATCTTTTGGTCCTTGGGGCTACTGTCAATACCCCTGTACTTGAGATGTACCCTGACTTCATACCTTCCTTGTCTGGGCTTGACTTGATGCCCTAAAAGATTCTTAAAAAGTACTGTTCAGCATTTCAGATACTTTGGAACACCTGCTATGCAAAAATCAAATATGCTCCAGGGCTTTTTTGGACATATTTTAGAAATGGCATCCGTCTCTGTCCCCAATGTCCCATGAAAATGTGTGGATTTCGCAATTGTCTAATGACAAACAGAGCACAACATCCACAAAGGAACATTGTGACCCTATTTTCATACCCTTGAGCTGCCAGATGCAATCAGTTCAGTCTCTTCTCTGCTGTCAGACCCTCTGCCATCTTGTTTTATCGCCTGACAGACCAGGTTGCCCTGCTGTTTCAGACTGTTCGCCTCCAGCCAGCTGCATATTCATGACACTGAGCTGAAAGAGTGTATGA